TGCAGATGATGAGGTCGGCCCATTGCACCACCACGATGCTGGCGAAGAAGGCGGTGTGGCAGGTGAACTCCACCACCTTGCGCTGCTCGTAGGTCTGGGGGGGGCACGGCCTCAGCGCACGCCCGCGTGCCCCCCTTCGCACGCCCGCGTGCCCCTGCTGCGCACGCTCATGCATGGGAGAGCACGCGTGAGCATGCACCATGCAGGGGCAGGTGTGCAAGAGGATGTCCAGAAGGATGTGTGGGATGGCGCGTGCAAATGCACTCACAGGCATGTGCACGCATGCAAAGGGTTTGTACAACTGCATGTGTGGGAGGGCGCACGTGCCTAAGCACACGTGAGCACACGCACACAAGCATAGCTGTGCAAGGGCAGTGCATAAATGGGTGTGTGCAGGGATGCACACAAGGACAGGTCTGCAAGGGCACACGCAAACACACGTGTGTACACGCAAACACCCTGCGCGCACACACACACATTTGTGCAAGGCCTTTGCACAAGCCCAGGCGTGTGTTTGCACACACACAGCCACGGGCAGGGTGAGGGCACACATGTGTAGGCACACACGGAGCAGAGTTGTGCCAAGGCATGCGCACAAGCGGGTGTGCGAGGGGCGTGTGAGGGGCGTGCGAGGGCCCACGCACCCACTCCTGGCCGTAGGAGTCCTCCAGGTCGTTGGTGGAGCGGTCGTCCCAGGCCAGGCGGATGCCCACCAGCGTGCCGGGCAGGAAGCCGTTCTCCGCCAGGATCACGAAGTAGGTGAAGAAACCGCCCAGCGCCTGGATCATCCCTGTGGGAGCGGCACCCCCAGATCGGCACCCCCGGGATCGAGGATGGGCACCCGGGGATCAGGAATCAGCACCCCCAGGATCAGGGATGGGCACCCCCAGATTGGCACCCCCGGGATCAGGGACGGGCACCCCGGGATCGGGAATGGGCACCCCAGGATCAGGGATCGGCACCCCCGGGATCAGGGAGCAGCACCCCAGAGCAAGGACAGGCATCCTGGGATCAGGGATGGGCACCCCCGGGATCAGTACCCCATGGGATCAGGGATCAGCACCCCGGGAGCAGGGATCAGCACCTTTGGCAGGATCAGGGATTGGCACCCCCAGGATCAGTGATCGGCACCCCGGGATCAGCACCCCAAGGGCCACCGGGGTGTGGGATCAGGGCACAGCTAAACGCAGCACAGCCCAGGGTCACAGGTGGGTGCTCCACTGTCACCAGTGGGTGCCCCAGGGGCACACGGGGCTCTGGATGCCAGCTGGGGGAACGCCACGTGGCATCGCCAGTGGGTCCTGGGGTGCCCTTGATATCTCAAGTGGGTGCTTGGGGGTCACACTGTGCCTGATGCCAGCTGGGGGGGCTGGCCCCTGGTATCTCTAGCGGGCACCCAGTGTCACTGGTGGGTCCTGGGGTGCCACTGGTGGCACCTGTTGCCACCCAGGGGGTCCCGCACCCCCGGCCCTCACCGATCTGCCCATAGGCCATGCTGATGAGCCGCTCGTTCACCAGCTTGTCGGTCCGGGGGTTCCTGGGCTGCCGCTTCATGATGTCGCTCTCGGCCGCCTCGTAGGCCAGTGAGATGGCAGGGACCTGCGTGGCAGGAGGGTCCGTCACCCCTGTCACCCCCCGTCCTCCTCCATCACTCCTCATCCCCCCTCGGCCAGCCCCGGCCTCACCATGTCGGTGCCCAGGTCGATGCAGAGGATGGTGACAGTGCCCAGGGGCAGGGGGATGTTGGCGATGATGAAGAGGAGGAAGGGGGTGATCTCGGGGATGTTGCTGGTCAGGGTGTAGGCGATGGACTTCTTCAGGTTGTCAAAGATCAGGCGCCCTGCAGGGATGGGGGCAAGTGGGTGACAGGGGGCGGCGGGTGCCCGTCTGGGGGGAGGAGGGCGATGGACGGACGGCACCAACCTTCCTCCACACCAGTGACGATGGAGGCAAAGTTGTCATCGAGGAGGATCATGTCGGCCGCTTGCTTGGAGACATCAGAGCCGGCGATGCCCATGGCGATGCCGATGTCGGCCTTCTTCAGCGCCGGGGAGTCGTTCACCCCGTCTCCTGTCACCGCCACGATGGCACCCTGGGGACACGGGGGTCACGCACAGGAACGAGGCACCGCAGGGCACAGGGATGGGGACACCATGGGGCATGGGGATGGAGACAAGGTGGGGCATGGGGAGAGGGCAGCAGGGGACACGGGGACAGGGGCACCTGGCGCTGGCAGCCCTCCACGATGATGAGCTTCTGCTGGGGGGACGTGCGGGCGAAGACGATCTCAGTGTGGTTCTTGAGGATCTCGTCCAGCTGCTCCGAGGTCATGTCCTTCAGGTCGGAGCCGTGCACCACGCAGGCCTTTGCCTCCCTGCCACACCGCAGCCTGAGCCGGGGCCGCCGGACCCCCCCGGGACCCCCCCGGCACCGGCACCTACCGGGGGTTGACCTGGCTGACGGGGATGTTGAGGCGGGGGGCGGTGGCCTCC